AAGGGGAGCACCCAACCCGACAGACGGCACGCAGCTGCATTGCGTCGGATACCATCACATTTAACTATATTTAATCTACTTTGTTAGAGTAACTGCAATGGATTATCCAATGAGGGTATTAAAAAAAGTTTATTGATATTTAATTAAAGTACAAAAAATCAACAACAAAAGAAGGTGGAGGATTTCTTGTTAAATTAATATTTAAAAATAATATTAAATTGTTTGATATTTGTGTTTGAAGTACATATATCAAAATATCATCTAGAAATAAAATGAGTATTTAATAATTCAATTTGATATTTGTGCCCTGCAGTTGCTCTTAGGGTGTTTAAGATTTTACAGCAATAAAATTTGATAAAATATTTATTTGTGAAAATCGCAACTTTACGTTGATTTCCTAAAATGTTTCTTTTTCAAGATATTTTCGATCGCCCTTATATTTTAGAATTATCAAAAAAATATAGTCTCGGTTGTTAATATGATTGAGTTCTTTGTAATTGCTTTATAATAATCATCATCATTATTATTATTATTATTATTATTATTATTATTATTATTATTATTATTATTATTATTATTATTATTATTATTATTATTATTATTATTATTATTATTATTATTATTATTATTATTATTATTATTATTATTATTATTATTATTATTATTTATTATAGAATAATAAATAAATTAAAAATAAATTAAAAATAACAAGATTTGGTTGAGGAGTGACGAAGGCAAGTGCACAACTACTTAATAACGCGTATTAAGTAAAACAAAGTCCCGTTGACTTTGACAAAGACAAAGCAACCAAGAAAACAACCACACCTTTCCTCTACTGTTCATCTAAAAAAGTTTGCCCCCACCATATTAAACAACCAAACAACCCCTTAAATCAATCTATAATACACTCATCCAATCTCCGATCTCCACCATGTGTTCGATGAAAGTCCTCACAGAGAATTCCACCCCCTTTTACATTCCATCTTCTTGAAAAATAATCATCCATGGCAGCCCTTCACTCCAGAAAGCTTCTACCTGCAGAAGATCAACCTGTAGCAGGTGATAAAAGGCCAGAATCATGCTACATGTGTTACGTTTGCCCCGACGATTGCTACCTCCAAACACCGCCGCCGTCTCCGCCGCCGCCGCCGTCGTTAACTAACCACCACATACCGACGGTCTTGATCCTCATGCTCTGCGTCCTCGGCGGAGCTTTTCTAGTCCTGTCGTACCTCACAGTCCGGAGGTACAGAAACTGCAGGAGGAGAAACTCGCCGCCGTCGTCGACGGCGAACGCTGACTCGCCGGCGGAGGATTATTTTCTCGACGAGGATCACGGCCCTGCGGCGACGGCGGACCACCACATCTGGTATATCCGAACCTCTGGCCTCTCTCGATCACTAATCGATTCGATTTCTGTGTTTGATTACAAAAAAGGCGGAGGGTTGATCGAATGCGTCGATTGTTCGGTTTGTCTGAATGAGTTTCAAGAAAACGAAACCCTCCGCCTTTTGCCCAAGTGCAGCCACGCGTTTCACGTGCCGTGTATCGACACTTGGCTTACGTCGCACAAGAATTGCCCCGTTTGCCGGGCACCCGTTTCGACTAATAATAATAATAACGATAATAATGTTCGATTATCGGGTTTTATCGAGACGAATGTAGTAAGTTCGGTGGAGGAGAATGATAATCGTAATAATAATCACCCGACGATGGCTCGTAACGAACCGGTGGTTCGAGAAGAAATAACGATCGAAAATAATCGAGGAGAGAATATTCTTAGGGAATCAAGAATCGGAAAATTTAGAGTGGTTAGTGATTTGGCGGGTTTTAGGGTGAAAGTGGATAATCAAGAATCGGAGCCGGTGAGAAGATCCCTTTCGTTGGATTTCTCGTCGGCTTCGATTGTTTATAGAGATGTTATTAGCGTGAGAGACGAAGGGTGTTCGATGAATAACAATAACAATACTAATACTAAATTGGAAAATTTTGGGAAACGAAATTCGAGTGTTTGTACGAAGATTAAGAAAGATTCTTTGCTTTCGATACAAAAAGGGTCGGTTTCGATGAAAAGATCGTTCTCGTTTAGTGGGAAGAGATCGTCGAGTAAGAATAGCAGAAGCCAAGAATCGATCACGATACGAGAGCTCGCTATGTACACGAAATCGCAGTCGATAAATTTGTAGAATTGTTACATTTATTGGGCTGCAATTTTTTGTGAGCTAGAGATGAAAATTGAATATGATTTTCTTGGTCTTGTTAATAATGTGTACAATAGAGTGATAAATAGCACTCAATTGTAATTATGAACAATACTTTTTTTTAATTATTTATTTATCAATAAGGGCTTCTTAAATCATCGGCAATTTAGGTTCAAATCTCTGTGGCGATTCTTGTCTAGCTGATTTTGGTCCTTTCGGATGTTCTAGTTGGAAAATAATAATGTTTTTTTTTTTTTTTTAATATTCTGAGTATCTGACCTTGAAATTTATTTATATTTTGAAACAAATAAATAAAATTTAATTTCCATTTTTTTCTTTTTTTTTTGGGAAACATATTTAAAATTACAATTTTCCTAAAAGAATCCCAAAAAATTCTAATTGCAGCCCAATCTTACATCTATGTGGAGAAGCTTGTCTAGGACCGTTGATGCTGATCCGAAGTTTTTCGATTATAGAACAATATTTTTCATTCCGACTTTCTGAAAAATTCGATCCCAACTTTTTCCGAATTATTTAAGATCGAGATTGGAACATCTATGAGTTTCCAACTTCAATTCCAATATAATTTCCCCAAAAAAATCAAAAAATCAGAAATACTATTTCTTTCCAGACATATTACACTTATAATTACAATATTATCAGGTATTTTATATTTCAGGTGACTAAAATTTTGTATATTTTCAGTTTGTTATACTGGAACACAATTGTAACTAGTTTTTCACTATCGAAAAAAAAATAAAAAATCGAAAGTGCCAATTACAATCCGATGCTTGAGGTAAGTTGAATCTTATTAATCTAGAGACAAGTAGTGCAAGTGGTTGTTGTCACAATCTTGGATTGTCTAAAAGGCAAGATCAAATGACGGATTCTATTGAACAAGTCAATGGTTATCTATACGTACTAATTAGTTACTAGTTAGTACATATTGCATTAAATTGAGTTGTGCAAGTAGATGTAGCATTAAATTTAAGGTACCTCATTTGGGTACACTATTAGCTTGATCTAATTGGAGAAGTGGTAATAATTTATGCTTGAGCCGTTTTTTTAAAACTCGTATACTATGTTGGAGTTGGACCGGTTCAATCGAGCACAACTGGATTTTTAAACGTAGATTTAAAAATTAAAATGGGACCTATTTGAACTTACCTTTAAATGTACATTTACAAATCAAGCATATCTCTCTATATCTCCATTTTTATGCCTAAATTAATCGGGAGTTTTCCCCGTTTTTTCTTCTCTATAGCTGGTAATTTACCACCTCAATTTGACCACATATGACCAGATCTGACCACCCGCAACTATGTATGTGAAATTTCGCTCAGATTCAGCCACAAATAACCGATACACAGTGGTTTGCGCTGTTTTGGCCGAAACCGAATTCCTTGACCGGTTTGCTGGTTCCCGTGGTTTTTTCCGTTCGAACCGGGTTTCGATAGCGGAACTGCAGCTAATGAAAATATGGGTTTTTTACTTCTTTAATTGAACAAGTAATTGACTTTTACCAAAACAAATATAACTAAGTGTGTTGTAATGTAAAGTACGTCAACATATAATGGTGCAAAATTTCAATTGACTAAATTAAATAAAAATAGATATAAAGTCATCCAAAGTTTGACATAAATATCTAGTGAATGTTTGAATAAAAAATGGAGGTCTGATTATGTTCTTTCCATATATGTTATGCAGTAATGAGTTTTGTCCTAAATATTAATAATATTTATTTATAGATACATATCGTCTTTTTGGCAATGGGCCTAGTAATTTTATATCTTGTGGCTTTTTGCTGTTGTTGATACCTTTTGGACCTTGATTTTGTGGGTTATGCATCCACTAAAATTTATCTGAAAATATTTCTTCACACATTTATATATAAATATGTATTCTCCCCACCCACTCATATAAGTCTCCGGGCACACACACATATACTCTAGTATAGTAGTGTACGAAATGTACGAGAGACGTAAATCACACTGAGTTAATTATGTATGAAGAGCTTGACCTAAGGACCGTTAGTAATATGATTCGAACTTTGGTCAAATGACACAAGTTCACTCTCTCGACACATATTTTTTTTTGTATATATAGAAATAGATATATATATATATCGAGCACTCTTAATATTGTGACACACCAAATATCATATATATATATATATATATATATATATATATATATATATATATATATATATAGATATAGGAATCAAATTTTCTCTACAAGAATAGGGGGCTGCCCATGTTGTGGTTGGGAAATGAAATTTAGATTAATCAAACTTGATTCGAAATAGGTTAATATTATATACCTAACAAAACATAAGATAAGGCCATTTTAAACGTAATTTGTACTTAAGAATCTTGAAATTATGTGTAAAGGAAACTAATAAAT